CATTGATCCTGTTGAGCCTCAGTGGATTCTAGAAGACCTGGAGGGGGAGGATTATCGACTGACCAAGATCTTGAACACCCACTATCACAAGTTCGTAATATTTTAACCGCCTAAGTGATAACATAAAAAATTGAGACTCATCCAATGCTCTTAGAAACTGAGAAAACGTGTCTAAAACTGTAGTTAATTGTATTTTAAACGTCACTTTTCCATCTCTTAAAGTGTGGATTATAATGTGGTAAACAAAAATATTTTGAGAACGTACTATCAAAGTTGACAACAATAAGACACTCTAAAAAAGAATTGGGTTACTAAAACTTTTCCTATATAAAAATTTGTTTTTTTGTTCCTGTAACACCCGTAGTGGGTCGTGACTGGGCTATTAATAAACAATAAGTGTTTTGTTTACATTTTAACACAGTATTTGACACAGATGTAAAACTGGAAATGGTCGGTTTGGTTTGCTGGACTGCGTTAAGAGGTACAGAAACATGGTGTTAGATTTTTTTTTAGAACTTAGAACTAACTATGCTGTTGAATTAAATTTGGTTGTATAATTTTTTTGTAAGGTTTATGAACTATTTAAGAACTCACAAGTCACAAAAAAAGTGTGATATTCAACATTGACTATCTGCTAAAGCCACTATCTTAAACTTTACTCCTAGAACTACTACAGGTTGACTGATAAACACACTAGGTCCATACTGAAAAATAAATACCCTTTAACAAAATATTACAGCAGAGACATTGAAAGACGTTATATTAAAAAAATTACATTTCTTTGCACCCCATGTTTTAGAGATCATACCGGGGGCAATCGAAAGTTGCTGAAGGATTACCCAGAGATCCCTGTGTACGGGAAGGATGACAGAATCGATGGGTTGACGACAATGGTGGAGGATAACGAGCGGATACACATCGGTGCGCTGGACATGGACGTTATACATACACCTTGCCACACCACGGGAGACGTGTGTTACGTGCTGCGTACCAAGCCTAGAGTCGTGTTTACAGGTATCAGCTGTTCCTGCTTACGATACAGTATAAGCTCTTTTTATCAACATTGTATAACTCACTTCTTCCTTGACAAAAAATCAATGTTGGTTCATCAGTCCTAAGTTTCAAAACTTATTGGTTTAATCAATCTCTGACTCTTGACAGAACAAGACAACCTTATGTTGAGGATGTTGCCAGTTTTTAAATCAAAGTGGAATGGACATAGTTGAAGTAAGACACATCAACAGATAACGCTGATGTGAATTACTGATTTCTACTAAATCTGTGTACTTTTTACCAAGTCAAACTGATAGTATGACTTATTGTAAGCTACATCATCTTGTATGTCAAGTCAATCATCCCAGCCACAAACATTAAGGTAGGAATTTAAATCTATATACTTATTTAATACACAAGCAGATTTTTTGTGACAATTACTCCTCCGAAACTACTGAACCGATTGTCATGTTTTTGGTGTCATTGGAAAGAGCGTAACGTGAAGTTGTGCAGGAAACTTTCTTTTTAAGGAAATAATGAAAGAGTGAGGCCCTGGAGCCCTTTAAAGTTTTGTATTTCTCCATAAGATTAACATTGGAAACAAAAATTGTTATGAAACTCCAGCTGTTGTCAGAAATCAAAAGTAAGAAGAAGAGCATAAGTTAGTTGTAAACAGTCAATAAGTTTGCTAAATTAACAGTTTGCTACAAACATTTGCTGACTTGGTTGAAATTTGTTTTAAAATAATGCCTGTAATACTTAGCAATTGCTCGAATTCGAGCAACAGGGACACTAGTACTTATTTAATACGCAAGCAGATCTTTTGTGACAATTACTCCTCCGAAACTACTGAACCGATTGTCATGTTTTTGGTGTCATTGGAAAGAGCGTAGTGTGAAGTTGTGCAGGAAACTTTCTTTTTAGGGAAATAATGAGAGAGTGAGGCCCTGGAGCCCTTTAAAGTTTCTTATTTCTCCATAGGATTAACATGGGAAACAAAAATTGTTATGAAACTCCAGCTGTTGTCAGAAATCAAAAGTGAGCAGAAGAGCATAGGTTAATTGTAAACAGTCAATAAGTTTGCTAATAAAACAGTTTGCTACGAATATTTGCTGACTTGGTTGAAGTTTGTTATAAAATAACGCCTGTAATACTTAGCAATTGCTCGAATTCGAGCAACAGGGACACTAGTCAAATTTAAAACACTAGCCCAATTTGTGACTATGTCACAGAACTGGATTCTTTTTTAATAACAAATTTAATCAAATTTAAAACACTAGCCCAATTTGTGACTATGTCACAGAACTGGATTCTTTTTTAATAACAAATTTAAATTGGCGACTGCTGGTTCAAGTAGATGGGATGTCTGCTTCAGTTTCCAAAAGTCAGTGGTTTAACTGACCTTCTACAGTAATATAGATATTTTTGTTCCCATGCAAATGTTGAGTTGTTATGGACCAAAGGGGAAACTCACTCGAAAAAAATGGAAAGTAGAGAAAATCACTGACTTTTTTTGTAAGTTAAAAAGTACTAGTAAATTCTGCAATGAAATAATCACGTTAATCAAAATAGAGTTTTGTATGTATTTTTCTACCAAATTATTGATTCCCTATTTTGAAGAGTAAAATGGGCATTACTCTGGTATGGATGTAGATTAGTAAATGTATGCAAGATTGGCATCACAACTCCAAATCAGCCATTTGGCTTTCCTTAGAGCATAACATTGAATTAACGGCCATTGGCTTCCTTTCAATATATAACATTGAATTAAAATCAGTGAGTTTTCAGGGGACACTTTAACCATTGCTGGATGTGGAAGGTTCTTGGAGGGAACAGCTGATCAAATGTACAAGAACTTATACTTCAAACTAGGAGTCCTGCCTAATGACACTGTAAGTTTACAAGAAAACCTTGGGGTGATAGTCAATAATAAATCTGTAACATAAGCAGTAGAACTATTGCTGAAAAACTTATCATCTGTATGTTACTTTGTCTATGATAGGAACTTCGTATTTAGACCTCACACCATACAAATGCCAACACAAATAACTAGTACGAATGTGTTACTATTTCAAAACATACCTTCCATTTCGTCAATGAATACAAACCCTCTAAGAAGAACACGTCTTAAGGGCCCTAGTCAGTCAAAATTTGGCAATCGATATTCGTAGTTGTGCCCTCCTCTACCAGAAGCGCTAGTGACACCTTTTGTCTTTTGTCACGTGTTGTTTTCTTCTCTCTCTTACTTCAAATCGGCCCTCTCGCTCGCACCTAAGCAGAGACAAAAGAAACCGGCAGTGTTCCTGGTGTGGGAGGGAACAACTACAAATAATGATCACCAAATTTTGACTGACTATTTTAACCAACCTGTGATCTTCTTAGAGGGTCTGTATTCATTGATTTCGTGCCACCCTACAAAGGATTTAAATTTTACCCAGCAACATAAGAAGTTACAAATAAGTAATTTAACCAACAAACTAAAAGCCTATTTGATAGGGTAAGCTTTGTATTCCCTGAAAAGTTACTTTCTTCCGACATAGTTAAAATCCCTAAAACATGGTGAGCTGTGGTATAACTTAAAATAGGTATTTACCTTTATCTACAGCTCAATTTGTGGTAGTTTGCAAGACGTCTGATGATGGCATTATAATGCCGAAACGGCCGTAACGCAAGCTACCACAAATTGAGCTGTAGACGAAGGTAAATACCTATTTTTTAGCTACATAGCTAGCCTGAGTTGGTATTAATTTAGTTTTGTAACCATTTCTTCTCAATGTGGATAACAATCTAAGACATGTACAGCATTAGGATACATAATCTATTGAATTGAGAAAATTTGATTTCATTTCAGCTGGTGTTCTGTGGGCATGAGTTCACATATCCGAACTTAATGTACGCTTCACACGCTGACCCTTATAACAGAGACGTCGGCCGGAAGTTGAATTGGTCAGAGGTTATGTTGGAAAAGCGCCTCCCTACCGTACCTTCGACAATAGGTAAAATAATTGTAATAGACAAAATTGTTAACAAAAAAATTCATACATTTCTAAAATATTTTAGGAGAGTGCAATATTAGAGTAGAGTATTAGCTAATGGAATAGGTACCCTACTAATTTTGATTGAAAACGGTTAGTAGATAGGTGAACAAATTTTAGATTGACCACAGATTTTTAAAATTTGACAACACTAATCTCTGTTGCTCCGCAGGCGAAGAATGGCAGACCAACCCCTTCATGAGAGTGGACACCCCCGACGTGCAATGGAGAAGCGACTCCAACGATCCAGTCAAAACTCTGGAACACATTCGGAGAGAAAAGGACAACCACAAAGTGATATAGGAACTACCAGAATACGTTGATTATTTATTAAATCCTTGTCCATAGCCCCAAAACTGAGTTTAGATTATCTTTGTTTATATGAATATGTTGTCGTTTGCAGTTCCAAATCGTTGACTTGGTGTTAAAGATCATGTCAATTAGGATGGCGTGTAGGAAGTAAGGGTTATGCAAGAGCTCAAAAAGATGACTGTACAAGAGCAATGGTGAGGAAGGATTCAAAGCTAATGTGCATCCTGATCGCCACTTTAAATGATTCAACTATACAAGTTTTGGCTGTACGCCTTTATGAAACACCCTTTGTCAGGAAACATAATTATCGACTATTGTTTTGTAGAAATTCACAACAATTACAATTAAAGTACAGTCAATAATCAATAATCAAGAATCAAGAATCAAGTCGACATGCCAAGGACACTGACAGGCACCACCATCGGACTAAACAATCAAATTAGAAATAATAAAGAGATAAAAGAAGTAGAAATTGTGAAACTAAAAAACTGAACTAAAAAATATGGGTTGAATTATCTGATCACAAACACATTCTTGTCTTACAAAGTTTGAAATATGTTTTCAAACTTTTGCTGAGTAAAATAATTTGTAGTTCAAATTAACACAATACTTAAAAATCAATTTAGACTCACGGGGATGAATAATTAAACAAGTTTTCACTATAAATTTTATATATAATTGCACTCTTCATATATACAGGTAACAAAGCTATTTTAAAATATATATTTTTTATACAAAAGACATAACAAACAATAACAACACTTATAGACAGCTTAGCAGTGTGATTCAAAAATGTTTGAGGAAAAACCAAAATTTTAAAACAAAATAATAGTTTAAATATTTAAAATGTCTTTCATGTCTAAACTGCTCCTAGTAAACTAAATTATTAAAACAAAAACAATTACAAATATATTAATTAAAATCTACATTCATGCTTGCACAAAACTTACAAATGAACCATACTAATAACAACTAGGAATAGGAATGTACAGTCAAAATGTTGATATTTTCCCAATATTACAAATTTTAATACACTAAAGCCCAAATAATTTATTTTATTTTAAGAGTTTTGTAAAATAATGAACATAAACTAAAGACACTTAAGAAGAGACATCAACTTTTGATAATGTACTGTAGTTAAAAAGAAGTTTACAGTTTAAATTAATCAGTTACTCTTTCCCATTCAAATGGAAATTTTTACATAAATATTCAACTAAACGATTGAACACGAAACTTGACATAAAGCTGGTAATACATTAATGACTAGCTTGTAAACATTGCTGCAGAGGTAAAAATTATCTTAAGAGCATTGTGGGTAATATTTGTGATGATAAACGATAAACCAATAAAACCAGTAAAAATAAGCCTCATTACATCTTATTGTTTGTATTGAAGTTTACATTTTATAAATCTATTGTTGAACTAAACCTGTGGAACAATTTCTAAAACGATTAATAAACTCAAAAAGTGATTTCCAACGAGAGAGGTTTGATTAGAATTACACATGTATAAATAAAATATTGCTCCGCAAAATAACATAACAAAAAACAACATGAGTATAAAAATACATCACATATCATGATAATATTTAGCTATGGTATGGCCTCTGAATTACACTATTTTTATAACAGTAATCACCATTTTTATAACACTTAACAAGATATTTAGATCTTTTAAGTGTTTGTTGTTTAAAAACAAAGTTTTATTTAAAATAAAAACTATGTGACTGAATAATCATTGTTGTTGAAACGGGGAAATAAATTCAAACTTACCTAAAATAATTGGGTCCAAGCTTATATGTCCACAAAAACATTTCTTCTGGCTGTAGGACTAAGATTAGGCTTAAACTTACAAAACTGGTGATCACTGTGAAATGAATTGAAACTAGGTATATTTACCATTTAGCACCTAACTTTATTATCACTCCCACTCCTTTGTAATGCGGTCGTAGTCTTCATCCTTGATAAACGGTTGATCAAGAGCACTGAAAACAAAGCACGAGGTTGTGAAAGAAACAGTTCTTACAAAGGCTTAGACAATTAATTCAACTCTCTAAATGAGATTATTGTATTGGTTTTAGTGGAAAAGTTCTTTTAGTAACCTCTCGTTTTGTGTCTTTTAGCTGGACCTAATAAAGCCTTCAGTGAGTTTATAGTCAAAGGTACAATGCGATATTGTCCACGCCTAATGGTCTTTAATTATATTTAATAACTACCTACATAAAATATTTTTTGCCACACTTCAGAATTTTAATGGTCTTTCCACGCAAGGATTTAATCTGGAAATCAGCTGTTTGCCACCTGCCTAATCAAATGCGATTTCATTACGTACTACTGTACTTTAATCAATTTTTACTGGACACCAGCCGAATATAATTGGCAATCAGTGGTTATAAACAAAAACATAACCTCTCTTAGAAATTATGAGTAGTAATTGACAAGACCTGTGGTTGGTCTATATAACGGATTTGTACAGTTTTTTTAAATTTTATTGTTAGGTTAGTATAGAGTCGCAAGGCAAAATAATATCTGAAACAACCATACTCGTCCGGTGAATTTGGAACAAAATAGTAAGCCAACTCCCATCTTTCATACGCCAAAACAAGTTGCCAAAACCTAGAATTCAAAAACTGCTTCTCAGAAGTTCTTGAATTTGGTGGTTGTTGAGTTATTTAGAAATATGAAATTTTAATGGGTAATAAATAATGAGGATGTGTAAACCATAGTGGGCATTTCCCAATTGGCCACATCAATTGGCATCATTTGGCTTAGTCTTAGCTCCGACTTGGAATTTTCAAGTTTTGGGATTATCGCCTTGTCTCACTTTCACTATCCTATGAAGTTAAATTAAATGTCATCTCAAACGAACTATGGTGTGTTAACTGTCTTTCACTCACCGTTGAGTTGCACAGAGTGTCAAGTTATCTGTATTGAGTTAGTCAGCTATTGTTTTCCTTCCGAAGCCTCCTTGGAGCGACAAAACAAAGTTAAATATGTTTTGAACTTTTTGTCTGCTATCAACTATGACTTTTTTTCTGAAAAATTATTTGAACGGTGTATAATCTTACACCATTAAAAACTGTTGCAATCTTTACAATTATACTAAGTAGATAAAGACTATCTTCTCCCTCTCACTTGATCATGTAGTCTCCACAGTACAGACACTCTGAGGCTACGATGGTGTCGATGTCAGTCTTCACCTGTTCTCTGCCCAGCAGTGAGGCAGTACCAGCTGACGTCGTGTCCGTCGCTGTAGCACACAGGTTTGCCAGCTTCTTCTACAAAGGGGAAAAATTGATTAGTTAATTATTGTAAGATATCTCTGGGAAACAACGTTATTCTCCTCATGGATAGGATTCCTCAGTCACATGTAGATTCATGGTGTTCAGGCGACACCCATTTCAAATCTTCATGCACTTAGGTTTCAACTACGTCAAATGAGCAGTAGTCAAGTCCGCCTAAGTTGTTAGTATATTAAGGCCAAAACGTTGATGAATGAAATTTTCTTGTCAATTGTTATATACATCAACACACTCAGAGGCTTAGCTTAATTCATCTACGTTCATTTTTATGAGAAAACTTGCTGAGACTTACAACCTAAACTAGGAGGTGTAGTTAGCCTAGTGGTTAGTGTCTCAGACTTCAGTGTAAGAGGGACAATTTTGATTCCCGACGTATCCACAAGAATTTGAGTGGTTTGGACAGCATTCCTTTAAAAGTGTTTGAATTTCCTTCGCTTAACAAATTCTACTGGCGTAGACACAAACAGAAAACAAAACCCTAACATGGGTTAGTAATTTCTAAATCCATCTTTGCTGAAATTCGTTAGTTACCTGCAGATCTCTCAGTTCATTCTGCGTCTGTTGAGACAAATGCTGTTTCAGTTCTGTCACCAGACAGTCTGCGTGAAAGCGATGACCGCAGGGGAACACGTAAAACGGCCGCAGAATCAGGCGGATGTCACAAACTGCGCAGGCGTCCCCCGGCTCCAGTACTGTGTACCTGCAAGTAAGTGTAGAGAAAAGAATTTATAAATAGAAATAAATGCATCTGCCATAAAAAATAAGGTTGCCAATGACACAGAAATACACTTGAAATACTGAAAAATTAAAACAGCTGTAACACTGATTAATTATGATGTTTGCCATATAAATTATTTCTCATTATAGTTAATCTCTTACTTAACATGTATAATAATTTTCAAAAAGGATCTGTCCAAATCATATTGTTTCTAAAAGTTCACAAAAAATGTTGTAATGTTCCTCTAGAACCAATTAACAATCCAATCACCTCCATTTTGGAAGTTTGAAATATTCAAAGGTAGATTCATAAATTTGTTTTTTTTCCTCGTGGACTTCATTAAGTTGATTTGATATTGAATTGTTGGACCAAGAAAAATCCCCTTGTTGGTTTGTCTATCAATTTAACAAAATTTCTACTCTTCTTGTGCTACCATCTGGGGAAAGACAATGTACTTCATGGACTTCCCATGTATTATATATTTTTTGTAAGGTGTTTGCTATGATACTTCTAATTTTGTGGTGCCTTGTGTTTCTTAGAAGTTTGCCAAATGGACAGAAGCAAGGGTTTCAATCTCATCACAGGCATGCCTGTAGCAGTTGTTGCCCTAACTTCTGCCGTAGAGAACACGAACCGGCACAACATTTGCAATCATTTTAATACAGGCTTGCCATTTAGATTTTGATAATCCTTCTTTATTGATAATAGTTTTATTTCCAGGTGTATAATCCTTGGACAGTTGAACCTTTATAATTCTGTTTTATGCTTTTCAGTTTTCATTTTTTTCCTCTTGAGTAACTTCTCAATTTTTTAGTATTTATAGTGTAGCCTAAAGCCTAATAACAGTTTTAAAATACAATGTCATGTGCGTCAACTTAAAAAAAAATCCTCTTGGTCCTTAGAATTTGTAACCACAAAACACATTTCTTACTAGAGAAAGCATCAATTTTTTAACACATTGTTGTCACCTACTACAATAACCTGATTCACACACAAGTCGAACTATTCTTTAACTACAAACCTCGTCCTAAAGGATTGTATCTCCTGTCGGATGACATCAGCTGACTTTGTAGCGTCCTCCATCTCCTCCCTCAAGTCCTGGATGTGCTGGTTGTATTCCTGGAGACAAAACATGTGTTAGGAGACACGAAATAACTTCTTAATCAGCAGTGTTATTAGACATATTTTTATTTACTCTCCGTACAGGAGACGTGACAAATGATGTAGAACTCTAATAATTCATTGTCATTATTTTATATCCACTCTATAGATTAATCGAGTATAGTAGTCTGGTTTAAGTCGATGCCTAAGAGCATTTATATTTCAATAATAGTCTTAGAATCAACGTAGAAAATATTAGATTTTAGATTACTCTTTTGTTGTTGCCTCAATATTTTTGTAAATATAGAGATAATGGTGCAGGTAAAAAATAAAATGGCTTAAGAAGACCCATTGAAGAAGCCACACAGGCTGTCACCACAAATTTATGGAATGATACACAAACGTCTTACTCAATGACACAAGCAACAACAAAAGAGGTAATCTCATATAATTCAAGTTTTTGAACCTGGGATGACAAGAAAAATTCAAGATAAGATTTAGGAAGCATCCATGTTCCTGAGAGAAGCCATGTTATTCGTAGTTGGTGGATTTAAGACAAAAAAGACCGCAACAAGTATTATTTATTTATAAGAATTTATATTGACCATCTTCTAATTCATAACCAACTACCAATGTAATCAGTGTACAGACCACAATGTAATATTGAGTGTACAAAGCCGTCTTACCTGTAAAGCGCTGCAGATTGCCTCCTTGAAATGGTCGATGGTGACAAAATCTGAGAAGAACGGCAGAATATCTTCAATCTTGATGAGATCGCATTCTTTGAGGAACTGCATCGCTTGCTGGATGTCGTTGTCTTTACTGACAACATGTTGAGCTGTATAGAAAAATATTCTTGAGAAACTATTGCTAGTTTACACATATGGACTGGGATTTTTATCCCAGGAAACAAATCAGTAAGAAAATTCAGAGAGTTGTTAAATTGTTTATCTTAACAACGACAACTGATTTAAGAGAACACCTCTTCCTATGATTGGATATGGCTTGTTTGCCAACTTATTCACATTTATATTAAATTACAGAGTTAAAAGCTATCAGCCTACTGACATGAGACAAATATTTGAAAAACTGCGCGAAATAAAGAACACTAATCCCAGATCTACAAACTACCATGAAGTCTACTGTAAGACCCAAATGGAATAAATCACTAGCTCAATGTCACAACACTAATGTCACTATGCTTAATGTCACTAGCTCTAGCTACTGTATTACATAACTAAAGTTAAAATCTTCGAACCCAACAACACTCGGACAGAAGTTCATTTTTTGACAGTCAACTCACCAATCTTCAGCCACAGTTTCTTGGTGAGCTCGTCGTCACCAGTAGGCATGCTGGCCGTCTGCTTGGCCAAGTCTACACTGATAGACAGAGCCAGGTCAACAGCTGATTGCCACAGTCCCAACAATGCAGAAAGTTGCACACACGCTTGAGTCAGCCCTCGCTCTCTACACAGCCGTAGTGCGTAGTGAACATCGTAGTTCACCATGGACACTTCCTGGCCTGCAATACATGAGTTTCAATTTTTCATGGAAAAAAAACAAGGTTTCCTCTTGTTAGTGTATAGTCTATGCCAGTATTTCCAATCAAGCAATTCCAAGTGCTGTTAAGGGAAACAGTCCACACCCCTAGGTTTTATGTGGATCTGCTAAGGATTACAACCGGCTCTCTTGCTTCAAAGGTCGAGACGCTAAGCACTGTACTAACAACACATCCAAATGTTGTAGCAGCAGAATGTTAGGTTCAGTTTGTGAAAAATCTGCGAATGAAGAGTTTTGAATCTGAATCTTAAAATAAGAAATCTTGAATCTCTTATTCAAGGTTAAGACTTTTAGAATAGAGTTATAGCAGCTAGTGAAATGGAGACTAGGTTGGCTAATTTGATGACCCGTGGTTGGTTAGACCTTGAGAACAAATGGATATGCATAGTTGTTTTATTATGTGGCTGTGGCATATTTATTCCTGACAGCATATTTAAACCAACCCTTACGGAAAGGGGTCGGTCAGCCGGTAGAAGTGGCTAAAGAACCAACAAAATGTTGGGTAAGTAATATACAGTAGTTTGTGTGTAGGACCTTTCCATTCACTGGTCTTCTGGATCAGAAGGAAGTCTTAGTCTACTGTAAAAGCAAGGCCATATTCCATGTTAAATACTCACCCTGCATAGCGAGATACCTCATGAGCCTATCAGGCTTATGTTGAGCATACAATGTCAACAAGTAGTTGTGCACAGCTTGTTCTTGCACATTCATCGAACTGACGCAAAACTCCAAGTACCTGATGATCTCATTCGCCTGTCAACACAAAATTAAATAATTTATACTTATACTCCTACGAACACTTATGATAAAAATTGATAACTTAACATGATAAAAATTGATAACTTAACATAAATATATAAACAATAAAAAACTATCAAAGTTAGGGCCCTAAACTGAGCATAGTGAGCACGAATGGCATTAATAGCTAAAATAAGAAAAACCACCAGGATGTAAAGTAAATGAAAAAAAATTTGTAAATATACTACATATCACGGTGTTGAATATCAATCATTAGGAAATCAGTAATTTCCTTCTTTTTTATTTTATCAAAAAAGAAAAAAGTCTAACCTTAAAACATTTAGAAACAAAACTTAACAAAAAATATGTGGGCCAGTTCTGAAAGATTTGGCTTGGAGACTCTGAAACATTCGGCTTGGAGATCAAGAAATAACAGAGAGTAACATAAATTATACCGAGGAATCACACTATAGGGATGATAAAAAGCAAAATACTAGGTTGGTTGGAAGGAGTGAAAATACAATGATCGATTAGGTACAGAAAAGCTACCAATTGTTTAACGGAAGGGTTCTACTGTTAGGAAGACTCATGTTTTGAAATGACAAAGCTAAAAAGACCTGATAAGTTCTGCAAGAATATGGAAGATGACTAAGGAGGAAGGTGAAGACAATTTTTAGGTGAGGCCAAAAACAACTTAGTTTCTAATGTCAACCGGAGTAAAAAATATATTAGTCAACATTATAAAAACAACCTATAAAAAGGCAGTACAGCTGCTAGGCTAAAATATATTATGTCATATTTTGAGTTCTTCTAAATGTTTGAGTTATGTTCCCCCTTCGCCAAGGAAGATTTATTGTGTTTATCGGTGAATAAGAAGAGAGGAAACTCTAAACCAACATCCACTTTAACTCAAAACTGAAACAAAATCTTTACCACCACTCATATCAAGATCATTACTAGTGGAGTTCAGACTAACTTTAGCACTCTCGACTGACCTGATTCTCATCGGCATGGCAGGTGACAAGTGCAGGTAACAGCTTGGTGGGATCGAGCGCACGGCCTTGCTCAATGAGTGCCTGCACCATAGCCTTGGGTACTGCCTGCACCAGCGCAGGTGTGAAAGTGTAGAACAGTGACTTGTCTTTCTGTTTACGAAGTACATCCAAGGCTACAACGTGGCAAGAGGTGTATTATTCCAAAGTAATTAAATTCTTGAAAAATTACATTAGTTTATTTCACATTTTCTCTGATAAAACATATTCTTGATTGATGTGATTACCAATTTCTTTAATCAATTGAAAAACCAATGCATAATGCAAATTTATGTCAGAGCATGAATTTATTTTTTTTAGGAGGGCAGCCTCTTTAAACCTTACATATGCGGATGACATGGATGTTAAACCTGTGCAAAGCTTGTGTCAAGCTGATATAAACAAAAATGAGCTTAAAGGTTAATTCATGTAGAACCTCTCTTCGTGTAGGCAGGCTTACCTTTGTAGAAGTCGCCCTTGTGTATATGCTGTTGAACCACTCTCTCAAAGTCTTTGTTAGCTATTGTCAGTCGTATCATGCTCTGTTTATCTCCGTGACTCGCCATCAGGTCGTAAACAGTGCCCTTGTTACGCTTTACACACTCCTGCCAACACAACAAGTTGAAAGTAACTGTTTCCAGTAAAACCAAGAAAGTATTATTGATACAGAAACTTCTGCAGAAACACTACTTGTCTTAACACTCAGTGGAATTTCAGAGATGGCAAACACAATTTAAAGATAGCAATACACCTAAAAGAACAAACACTAAACATTGCTAACCAAAGACTACAGAACAGAGCGTAATTTTCTTCATGCGTTAAATTTCATGCATTTCATGATAAATAATTTCATGAATTTCAGAGCATAATTTGCTTTTAAATATTTCCCTAGGTAAAATTGTGAGCCAGAATTCAGATCATATACATGTTTGTAGAATGCTTAAAAGAAAGTCTTTAATAACTCAAAATCTTTTTTTTCAAAATTTTTTTCTAAAAATGTGAAACAAGACTCGACTACCTTAAATTTTGCTTATTGTAAAAATAAGCTTTGATTGATTGCAGTACCTTAATTTACTGATCTTAGGGTTGTCATTAAAAAGTTTCTTTATTAAGAAAGAAAATTACCACTTACAGTAGCACATTCTGTAGGTTTCTAAGTTTCTATTTTTTTAAATATGTTTGAAAATATAAACAATATTATAAAATTGGCAACAGTTTAATATGGAAATGGGATTTCTACAATGTGTACTGTTAAAGACTGTATCAAGTAAAAATATTTGGATTGGATTTAAATTGTTCTCTTAGTAGTAAAGTAAAAAAGCATTGGCGTACGTGAACAAAGGAATAAAATAAAAAACAATACTCTGTAGAAATTCTTTTGCTAAGCGTATCTTTTGACATACAGTAGACTCCCTCTTATCCGGACTGCTCGGGACCGAGGCCAGTCCGGATAACGGTTTTTCCGGTTAAACCGACATCCTCAAAAACTCGTTAAAACGGACCACTTAAATGCATGCAACCCAAATATTTGACTCAAATTTTGGAGAGCATTGTGTTTATACACGTTATCGCTGGTCTCAAATCTTTCACATGAGAACAGTTGTTTCAGTACCGCCCACTTCCACCCGATCAAGTCTGGTTAAACAGATGTGCTGATAAAAGTTGTCCGGTCAAAGAGATGACATTTCCGCTGAGTGTAGTCCGGTTAAACCGATGTCCGGTAAAAAAGTGTCTGGATAAGAGGGAGTACTGTAATCAAGGGATACCAAAGTTTAAAAAAAGTAAACAGAAAACTAATCACATTTGTTCTTTACTTAGTCATAAATGTAAAGACAACAGTATTATATCAGCTACTCTACAAATTTCACAGGGACTCTTGTATTAGTGTTTTCTTTACCTCAACCTGTCTAAGAGCCAGAAACCTATCCAAGTCCTGCTGCAATTGTTGATACTCATTGCTGTGCTCCATTCCCTGAAGAAAGAGAAAAATAATAAGCCACTATGAAGTACTTAATCTTACTCTTACTAACATTGCAATCAACACCCGATAAGGTATTTGGCTTGAACAACAAACATGTGCATCTTCTTCCTCTTCGGCTGTCAATATTCTCATGTCTTTGACTACTTATTCTATCCACCTCCTCGTTGGTCATTCAGTGAGTCTATCCACCTCTATTTGCGGCCATTCAGTGGGTCTTCTTATATCTATGTTTTTCTTTCAAATCTATTATCATATTTATCTCCTCTCCTCATTAGATGTTAAGTAATAATAAGTTTTTTATTATGTAACCACATCTGGTGCTTTAAACAGATGCCTTAGTTCTCTAGGTACAGTTGATTCTTTATTTTTTGTTAATTATTTATACTGTTTGTTTATTGACAGACAACCTATTTCATAATACAATAATTTCTGTTCTAGAGGTTGACAAGGAGCTTTTAAGTCTAAAATGATCAACAAAATATAATATAAAAAATAACAATATTAGCTTTTTTCCAGAAGTTTTTCTCTCGTAAATGTTACAGATCCATGTTAGAAAAGAGTTACAAGTCCTAATTTGTAAATTTTCAGTTTGGTGTGGCTTGAGAAAAGATTGATGTGTTTATGTTATAAATCACTAAGAATATATTTATTATAAAAGTTTATTTAAGGCCAACATATTCTGTAGAGATTTTATTTTATTTTTTAAGTAGGCCCCCACTCATAAATATTATGAAGTTAATAACTCATAAACATTACAGGAATACAAGCCTAGTGATAGATTTTCAATATGAATTCTCAACAGTGGAATCTACACTGAAGCTACGCTTTTTTGACTAACGTTAATGTGACAATAAAGAGATATTTATTTATTTAAGCTTTTCAAATAAAATGGTTAAACAAAATGTGATAGTTTATGCTGTTAAACAACTTTTATTAAGTCCTAACCAAAGAGGACACAAATAAACACATTCCTTTACAGTTTTGGAATTGTATATAACACGATGTGTTGTCTCAGGTAAACTAAAATGTGAAAAATAAAATTTGGTTTACCTGGCTGCGCAGAGTTCCCATTTCGTTCATAAACAGCTCTATGACCCATATAACAATCATCGTAGTCTGAGTCTGGTCGGATGGCCGCAGCTTTTCTAATTTCTGAAAAGTCGGGAAAGGTATAGCAGTTTTACACATGTTTATGTCTGTTTTTATAAGTTTTATAAGCTACAAAAACTTGTCATAGAAATGCAGTTAGACAGACATATAATTTTTACAACAGTACAGTGTATGACATTTCTCTTACAAGTATTGGAGAAAGAGTAAAATAACAAACCTTCTGAAGAAATGTTTTCAGCGCCTTGATTTGCCAGACTTGTAAAAACTTGAGGGCAATTTCTTCAAACGAGGAGTGAGTCTCGGCATAGCGTTCTGCACTGAGTTCATATCTTTGAACAAATGAAAGTAGGTCCAGTCAAGGAGAGCAACAGTGTATTGGATACTGTCCTAGTACACTTGAAATACTACTAAACAATTTGAAAATTGTGATTTGTATTTTATGTCTTATTACGTTTGAGTGTGCGGATGTTGACTAAATATTTTGACTTATCCAGTTATGTAAGTTTTACAGTATGTGCTTTATCATTACTTTTTTGCTTGAAAATATTATTAAAACTAATTTTACCAACAACTCAGAGCACAACACAAAATACTACAATAATATGTTAGACTATATTCCATAAATACTCACTCTTGGTTGTTAAAATGAGTTTCTGCCTCCCTATTCAAGACCTGGTCCAGGTAAGCTTGGTTGGTACTGCAGTATTCTTTAGCCAAGTCAAACTGCCCTTTCTCCATGTATATCTGAAATCCCATCACAGCATATGACTACGGATAAACAGTTTTTTTTCTTGAGGATAGGATGTAACATAGAGCACAAGGGCCTAGGTTTTTTTCTGGTTTTTGTGAGGATAGCGGGCTTACCTGAATGGGAAAGAATCTAAACTGGCACAAGAGACACAAAACTTTACACTATACACAAAGCTTTAGAGCATTTCACTGTCACTGACAGAATTGTCAACAAAGAGAAAAACTCCTATTCAGGTAAGCATGTTTTTTTTTTTTCAATTTGTTATACAATAGTTCTTATTCTTAATAGTTATATTACCAAACTATTGTATTGTGATGGTATTTTTAAAATTATGAAGAAGAAAGAATACTTAGCTTCAATTGAACAAATTCATTAGGTTAACCTAAAAGAAACACCTACTTATCTATATCTAGATTTTGACTGAGTTAGGGAATACTGTATATACTAATGTTTTTAAAAAAGTTGAGCTAACCTGCCAAACGTTACGATCTTCTCTAGATATCTTGTAACGATAAACAGTTCTTTCTGCAATCACCCAGACAGTGCCTTTTGTGGGATCTTTGGTGATGGTAACCAGCCGGCCGTATGACTGAAACATATCAACAAAACTGTAATTGGAATGCAAACATGCCGAGACCGCACACATTTAAACCAACCAAAACAACAAATCGTTACAAAACTTCCAGCAATTTTTATGTGTACAAGAAACACAAAACTGAATGGCTTACGTATCAACCCCTTCTCTTATGACTAGTTTTAATTTGTTATGAATATTTTGGATACCACTCAAAGGTTCAAACAAATAGACTAGGGAGCAATGTTTTTCAGTGAATATCTGGCTAACACTTGTGAGGTACCAAATTTTAAGGGGGGTAAAAACGTATTGCTAGTCAACAAACACCATTACTTACCCGATTTTTATCCACAACATCCTAATCCTAGGCCTATGTGTTGGCCCTAGCTTGGGCTATGGGCCAAAGAACGTAGGCCTACTTTTGATAACAGTGAAGTACACGAACACACCCACAACTACATATTTATTCATAATAGCACTCCGTTTCACATAATAAAGTTAAAACGACCGATTTTACGAATATTTAACGCCGATTACAACATCACTTAACCCCAAACTGGTGTTTGTTTGTTGACCAACGACAGACGACAACTAGACCGGCTCAACAGGTGAATTTCCGATCAGCTGTTGGCTAGTTCTCGAACTCACCACCAGAGCGATTAAGCCTCGACCGAGGAAATCATGATTTGAGACGGACAAGATTATTCGCTGTTTGACCACCGACTAGCTCGCACGGGTTACGGATACAACGAAACGACACCACGATATTATTACGAAGGTTAGCTACCATACTAGTTAGGCCCATTTTTACGTTTTACGTTCTTTCTGTTTTATCTTACGCATACTTAACTTAATATACCTTTTCGTTTTCTTAATATTCCGTTTCGAATTATCTTAATTTAATATCTTAACTTGAGTCTTGACCCGCCAGTTCCTGCCTGCCAGTGACTAGCAGTGGCTATCGTTTATTTAATTTTAATTCATTAGTTTCAAAATTACGATTTCTACGTTCGCTTAACAAATAATTATCACGTCCAAATTATATCTCGTTTTCACCGTTTTAATACCCCGAGACTTGTCGTCTAAGTTCTAAACCCCGTCTTTGGCGGGTGAAAGAATCAAGTCTTGGGAGCAGGCTGATTTGAACAATCAGCTACGTAAATTAATATTAAATCTATTTTAAACAACATCACGATAAATTCTCCATCCAATTATATTAATTAGGCCCCGACGACTCTGTAGGAATTGTTTTGCCTTTTATTCGATATTAGATCAATTACCAACGTCTTCAACTAATTAGTTTACAGTTTAATACAAGTATTTATATCACATTGGCTTAAGATTGAATACTCGTCGGCCCTACAGAGTCATTCTAAAAGTTAGGCAAAATTCTCCAAAACACGTTAGCGAAGGTGAGGATGAAATAGCTCCTACTGAGCGTCTGCAGGATTTCCTGAGCGCTTCTAGAGCTCTGAGCCTTCGATTAAATTTTAAATAAATTGATCAGTCAAAGCCGTGACACCTTCGTATCGACCCCTGGATTTTTCTCGGCTCCTTCTGAGCACTCCGGGGAAGAAATTTGAGTGTGGCCGGTTCTAGGGTAGGCCTAGCCTGACTTGGTGAATACTAGTTTATTCCCCCCCTAGAATTTTGCGTCACACACTATAGCTATTAGTCATGATTGTAGTTCACGTTAAAACCATTATCTATGAGTGAGAGTCATATCAAAAGATGGCTAGTAGGTTCAGATCCCTTGGCTCCAAACATAATGATGGAATGTGTCTAGGCCAAAACATTTTAGTATTTCTGTCAACAGGTTCATCTATTTAGGGGACAGGGATTTTTTTTTTTAAATGAAGAAGAGTTCACCTAATCTAATCTGAAAAGAAATAATGAATAAAGAACACAAAACTGGTGGTAGGTATAGGCCTACCAAAACTTATTTGTTCTTAATTTGTTAACTTAGAAGCTCATAGTAGGTACCAGTGTTTTTATTTTAATATTTAAATTTTTGCCATGCACTATTTTTACTTCTATGATAGCTGATCAGATCATAGACAAAATATCAAGTCTAATGCCATCTAACGACAATATTTTTGTTTTAACTTCACATAGTATTTTGTAGCGCCGTTAGTTCCCCAGCTCCATCTGACAGGATTTCTAGCACGCTGGAGAACCAGTAACTAGAGCTGCTCCTTGATCTCGCAGCGAGAACTAGCTGCTGAAACAAGCCCAATGTGACAGGGGCTTAAGAGATACTAGAAGCTACCCATGCTTCACTATGTAGTCTACAAACCTATAATTTTAACATACTTTACAAGCTACTGTATATAACCACTGGTGTTACCATAGAATATCACGAATAATATCAACAAATAATATTGTTCCAGTCTCAAGAGTGACATTTAATACGCATTATCCTGTATTAACCAATTAACATTATTTAATTAGGCCTACCTCATTATACAAATCCTCAAACACCATGCTCTGGTTTAGTATGGACAGGCCGACAACTTTGTTCGGGTAGAGAAGAAGAACATGGAACTCTGTAAGCACAAAGTTGAGGGGTGCAGGCGCTGAGGCAGGGTAGTTGAGGCGTTGACTGTCTGACAAAACTTCTTCTCCCTCGCCACTGATGTCTACCTATGAACAAAAATCTTGGTAAGAAATGAGATTTTGAGGTTAAGGATGTAACATAGATACAAGGGCTACCTTTTAAGAATTTTAATGAGGATATTAGGCTTTTCTGAATGGAAAACGGGAGCGAGCTGGTCTAGTGGTAGAACCCAGGATTTCAGTTACTGAGGTTCAGGGTTTAAGTCCTGCCAATCACCAACCACCGATGGTTTTAGCTCTGTGATAATGCCACGACCCTCTAGGTCTCTGAAGTAATGTGTAAAACGGTTCCAGGCTAGAGTCTAGTGTTAAAAGATTTTAAGGTGGGGCTTAGGTTTTTTTTTTTTTTTTTTTTTTAATCTGAATGGGAAAGAGTACATTTTGGCTCAAGAAACACAAAACTAGATGGCTTTCATTGGCAACACACTGAACAACTTCCTTTCTACTGTTGGACCTGCAGACATATCTCTCCAATTCAAACCTTTGGTTGAAAAAGCTGTTAGTGTCAGTGAAATATTCAAACATTTGTGTATAGTGATAGTGTAAAGTGTTCTGTTTCTTGTGCCAGCGTGGACTTTGTCATTCACATAATCCTTCTATCCTCACAAAAATCATCATTGCAACAATGAAATTTCTCAAACAACTTTTGCTCGGTGTGAGAGTAAAAATGTCATATTGTTGAGAGCAATTAGGTATCATCAAATGCATTGTGTTAACAACACTTTTCTATTACAAACCATAGATGAAAGTTCCGACATGCAGAATAAACCAAATAAGGTTACTGCTTCAGCTATTAGCAGACAAAAATTGAGGATGGAAATCAGTGTGTTCATTTTTATTTACAATTTCTTAACTTTTCCTCTTAGAAAGTCACCGATGTGAATGAAAGGTGAAGAAGGTGAAGAGGTATAGACAAACTTCATGGTTTGTAACTAAATAATATTACTCTGACTCCGTGGACTAATCATATATTACCTGTCCGTAGAAGATCGATTCTTCTGTTAGCCACGCAAAGGATGAAGGCAAAACTGGTTTTTGCTGCGAAGACTTTGGATAGAAGAACTGCAGCTTGGAGTACTTCAGGACCTTCTGGCTAGGAACTTCTATGAAGCCCTCTGTTGAAGAGATAAAAACAATTGATCAGTAAATTACTTAAAAGGTAACAAGTAAATTAGAGTTATAGGCCTGAAGGGGTTTATTTTATAGATCAGCCAAAAAGCCTTAATTTACCCAAAACTTGTTATAAAATCCTCTGATCGTTGGATAGGACTGAAAATCCTGTATTGCAGATCTCCAAGCAATATTTCTTTCAAAAACATAAATTAAAAAACTTTCTTAATTAATGTACACAATCAACATAACCTTTTCTTAAAAACAATCCTAAATAAAACTTACAGTGAATGTTTGATTCATGCCACTAACCCGCTTTGGAAAGATACACATTGAAGATCTGCTGTAACAGAGGCCGATCCTCAGAGCTATTTACGTTTCCCACAAATTGGTAAATGCGGTTGGGCGTGGTAGCTATGATGAAGTAGCGTTCTCTATTCGGCAGTCTGTGGAACTCCAGTCCAGTCATAGGGCTGTTCCCCTTGCCAATGTCAAACACCTACAGAATAGAAAATTTAAAACAAAATATATAGTCCTCTAAAACTAACCCCAAACGAGGGTAGTTTTAATAAATACTGTATATCATATATCATAAAAAACAAAAATTGGATATCTCTTGAGTTGATTGCTATCCCTTTAGTTTTGATTTAATTTGTGTATGCCTAAAAGGAAAGAATTTGAAGTGATGAAATCCAGTTTAAAAGTATACATATTACAGACTGTAAAAAAAGTATCTTGACTCTAATTTGTTTGGTCACATTTTAAATGTTGAATATGCAATTATATTTGGAAATCCTTTGAAATTGTAAAATTACTAGCTATGTAAATATTGTATAGTGTTGTTCAGGAGTCCAAAGTTTTAAAACAAGTCAAATTAGCCCAATTTTGTATTTTTATTGGTGAAAAATATAGTCTGGTTGTTTTGTAGTGTTTTGATATCATTTTCACTGACTAAAGTTGTTATCAGGTCGAGACCTTAGAGCACTTTGTCCGAAATCAAATTATTGCGCACCCCAGACAATTGTTTTTTTATTGACCTTACAAGTTAAGGTGTCCAATGAATGCCTGTAGCTTCCCAATAAGTTCAACCTCGGGAAGATATCTTCCTCTAGCCAGATTCCCAAGAGTTATCATTATAGCATCAGAGAGCTCATTACAATCAAAGAGTAGGTGATCGGCTGTCTCTTCTGACCTATCACAGTGCCTACAGATCGGTTCACCATCAAATAAGCCCATCTGTTGTAAATGTTTCCTGAATCGCCCGTGACCAGTTATCAGTTCTACAATTAGTTTCATTCTTCGTCTGTCTAGTCTCAAGAGGTCAGAGGCAACCTTTTTGGAAGGCCTAAAGCTTGCTGACCTTAAGAAGGGGAGTAGTGTTGACCCAGCGTTTGCGGTGCTTATCTTTGGCTAAAGTTGTTAGCCAAGATGTATTTTTGGGGAGGGGAGAAATAGATAAAAAAGATATAATTAGCCTAAGATAAATCAATACAGACAAAAAAGTTGTAAGTAAATAATTTAAAAAAAATTGAAAAAAAATCACAGTTAGCAACAAATACTGAAGTTTAAATCAAATTTTGAGAAGGCAGTTGTGTCTCAACAAATATGTTTTAATGGTGGGAAATAAAACTACCACAGCAAAAAAAGTACACGGTTGAACTGATAATAAAAAAAAAAAAGTCTTACCATTCCCTCCACTTCTTTTTGTCCGTATAAAGGGAGATAGTTGGGCAGCTTCCACAAATGACAGAAACAGTTTGATGGATTAGTTTATTGATTTATGTACTATTAAAAGTGTATTTTCCTAAGGGAAAGTGTTACTAAAAAAAATGCTAAACTTAGTTCTACAACATGTACAAACAGAGTGACTGGAATAATATTTATACCATTTGTATATAACACAATACAAATTTTAGTAAGGTTGATTTGAGATATACATACATACATTATTATACCACTTCTACAAGCTACAATTAATCAAATTTTCACTAAAAAGGAAATTCTATCCCATTTCCAGCCCTGTTTCAATAATTAAGGAATAATAATTAATAATAATTAAGGAAAACTGAGTTTTGCTCTAATTAACCATTATAAAAACCCTGAAAGTAAAAAAAATAGGTACGCCAAATAACATTTGTTATAATAGATTACACTTATACTTACTGTTTACTCACAAGACAGTAAATAGATATAAAAAGATGGAACGTGGTGATCGATTTCGATTGGACACTCCAATAATCATCAGATACAATAAGCACAAGTTTTTAAAATTTTAAAAACACACGGCAGGTGTCACAAAAAGTGAATCCACATACACAAAACTGCTTAAAACCAACAAAACTACTATGGGAATACAGTTTCATTAAATTCAGTGGTAGTCTCATAAAACTTATTTTCTGTCAAAGAAGGCCGAACAGAGACAAAGTTTCCAAAGCTAAATCGCAAAGAACATGATGAAAATGAATAATACCTGTTTAAAATACTGCTCTATGCTCGATTGGAAGATTCTCTCCGAGTCGTTTGACAAAGCCGTTTCCAAAATAAGTCCCTTGGATGTGCCGAGTAGAAGAGGTTTGGTTGTGTCTGACTTGACGTTCTCATGGTTCCATCCGACCGCAGTGATCTCGTGTCCTCGGAATCTGGTGGCCTTGAAATATAAAGGAAGTTAAACAGGTATAAAAGCTTTAAATAATCAAATTTCTAGTAAAAAATATAAGGGAAATTTTATTACTTTGGTAAAACCTACGGCCTAGTTGTACTTTATGAGTATGATTTTTACCACTTCCTAAATTGTAAGTTTCTTTCCAAGTTACAAAATCCCTTCTAACTAGGTTAAGGTTAGGCTATCAGCACACATCAGCATATACAGTAAATACCTGACAATTTTATTGTTAGTTTTTATTCAGTTAGGCTATGTTTGGACTTGAGATTTGAATAGGAAGATTACATAACCTAACCAAACCAAAATCAAGTGAGATTTCACTGAGAAACCATAGCACAGGAAACCTCTTCTAACAGCACCCCGTCTAGCAGAAACCCACACAGTTTAACCCAAACCATGAAAACCAAATAATTCAAATCATCTGATAATTAGCTAGGCAGCTACTTTCTCCCCCTATACATATGGAGAAAGCATTATTTTCGTCAACATTTTTGAGTTTGAGTTTTGAGTGGATGTAACCATTTTGGGTCCCCCTGAACCCAAAAAAGATTTTGAAGTGATGTCTGTGTGTGTGTCTGTAAGTGTGGATGTTTACAGAGCTACAGATCAATCCTGTAGTTTGATTTTGATGAAATTTGGTATGTATGTACTAATCCATGGTATCTCCAGGCGTTTTTTTTAATATTTTTCAATTTTTTTTTAAAGGGGATTTTTCCATAAAAACCCATAAAATAACAGAAAAAACACACTGTCTCGAAAATGGCCCGAACTTACTTCTTACTTCTTGGTACGTGCTTCCAGCTTCAAGTGATGCCGACCGCACGGTGTCTCTCATAAACATAGCTTGCTAATCTCCAACAGTTAGGCTCAGTCAGGATTCTTTTGAGAGAACAGTCAGGTTGGAGTTTTCTCTTTAGCTCATCTCTTCCGTCTGATTTGCTGGGACAATGCCGGAGGATGTGTTCTGAGTCTCTTCTTCCAATTGACAAACGAGACACAGGGGTGACTCTGTCAGGTTAAATCGAAAGAGATAGGATTGTGTAATTATATGTCCTATTCTTGCTTTTGAGGCAAACGATAGCATCTGGGAAGGTTTTTGTAGATTTCGATGTTGTTGGGTTCTTTGAGGAGGTTATAAAGGTGGCGGTTCATCATTCCATCTATCTACCCACCTGTGTCTCAGAGTTCTGTGAGCTGTGGCTATGCAACTGGAGAGAGTTGGTTGCTTAGGTGGTATTGGATGCATGTTGGAGGCTGATTTTGCTATTTTATCAGCTTCTTCATTTCCATGCAGTCCGAAACCATATTCAGGAGATGAAATATTTCTTGTGTTATATGATAAAAGTTTGAAGGCTTATATTGTTTTAGAAGCTGTAGTGCGCTTTTTGAATCACTGAGGATGCATATGTTCTCACTCTCAAAACTTATGCAGTGGGCAGCTGCTGTGTTGATGGCTAGAAGCTCGGTTTCGGTGCTTGAGCATGAATTTGTTGGAACAAAACGGAGGTGTTTGAGTGTTCTGCGAAATAACCGGCTCCAGATTTTGGTTTGGTGGGGTCCAAAGACCCATTAGTGTAGATCTTGTAATAGTTGTTGTAGTTTATGTTTATAATTTCTATGGCCACGGCTCTTTGTGTTTCTACACAATCTTTTTTTGACCTGAATCCTGGAAGTTCTAGCTCAATTTTCGGGGGTCGAAAGCGCCAAGGTGGGATTTCGTTGACTGTTGGGTATGGCATTGGATGAATATTTTATGTATTTTCTGCTATTGATGATGTTTGGAAGGCAAAAGAGGACTTGTGATAAGTTTCTTGTGGGTTCAGTCTTAGAGCTGGATTTGATGAGGGGTCTGCAGAAATACTGAGGGACTTGTGCCAGATTGCCTTTTGTATGCATATGTCAAGAGGTTCGATGTTCAACTCTATTTCCATTGCTCGTACAGGGGTTGTCTTTGGGCATCCTAGGCAAGTTCTAAGGGCTGAGTTTTGGACTACATTTAGTTTATTTATATGTGTTTTTGCTACAGAGCCCCATATTTCTGCTCCATACATTATCTTAGATCGAATGAATGATATATAGAACTGCCTCAATATGAGAGTATCTGCTCCCCATGTCCTGCTAGCAACAGCTTTGAGTAGGTTTAGTCTTTTTGTGCACTGCAACAAAATCTGCTGTATATGGTTGTTCCATAAAAGTTTGGGATCAAGAGTGATTCCAAGTAATGATGGGTTCGGGTTATGGGGTACTGGTTTTCCCTTACATTGTATTTCTGGAATAAAGTTCTTAAGAGCGTATTTTCTTGTAAAGAAGATGGATTCGGTTTTGGTTGAAGATATCGATATGCTCCACTTTTTGGTCCATGCATTAAAGGAGTTAAGGGCTGTTTGCACTTGCTGTTTAGCTCGTTTGGGGTCTTTGTCTGAACTCCAGATGGTTATGTCATCGGTGTAGATGCAGCCGTCGGTTTTGTCAGGCAGAGTCTCTAGTATATCGTTCAGAGCTACATTGAACAGAGTCGCACTCAGTACCAATCCTTGTGGAACTCCACTGTAAATCGGAAGTTCATCTGAGAAGGTGTTGTTCACTTTAGTTAGGTATAATTTTTCGAAACTTCAGAAAGTTTTGTATTTACTTAAGCATTTTTCCTCTGATTCCAATGAGAAGGCACTGTAGTAGAACTGTAGAGTGGGGTATCTTATCAAAGGCTGCTTCTAGATCTACCATTACCGCTACTGTCGTCGAGTTTGCTGAAAAAGATCTGTAGATTGATTCTGTGAAGTGCAGAAGAGCATCTTTTTTCCTCTTCTCGGTCTATATCCAAACTGTTTAGGATGTAACTTTTCTTCTTTTTCGAGTCTCCACACTAGTCTCTTGTTGACTAGCCTCTCCATTAGTTTTCCAAGGCAAGAAGTTAAGGAGATAGGTCTATACGATCCGGGTAGGTCTGCGTCTTTTGTAGGTTCAAAATTGGTATGATAGTGGTTTTTTTCCATTTGTGCGGGATGTTACCTGAGCTCCAGATGTCATTGAAAAGAGTGAGTATTTATTTGAGAGACTGCTGTGATAAGTTATTCAACATGGCATTATGTATGTTGTCATCTCCAGGTGTACTGTTTTGGATATCCGATAAACCTTGCAGGAGTTCATCCATTGTGAAGGGAGAATCAGCTATGTCGGTATGCAGTGTGAGGAGGTACAGGTTACATGATAAATATTGTTCTTCTCAGGTGAGTTTTGTTGGAAAAGGGATTGCTTTTATTTGAGCTGATTGATGAAACAAACGACAAAATAGAAGTGGAGGAGGTGTAGCTTTCCTACTGCACAATTCACTACCAGTAAGCAACACAACTAACTTTACAACCACTAATATAGAAGCTACAGCTGCAGAAGTACAAGTAAACGAATCTTTCAACATAACCATTGTTAATGTGTACATACCAAATCAAGGAGTAACTCTACAAGAACTTGACACCATTAAACCCAAGACCAACAACTACATTATAGTCGGAGACTTCAATGCTAGACATCCCAACTGGGATAAATCCCCACTAGTTTTGGGCTATTTAGAGTTTCCCTCCTAAGTAGAGCAATTGTTGGAAACATTTTAAACTAAGAAGCACTTAATACTAATCTCACCGGCCTAATTTTAGTAGACTTTCTGTTGAGGTAGAAAAGCTCCGCTTGTAGACCAGATTCCGGGTTTCTCGGGACAAAGCTGAGCAACAAATGATCTCCTGTAGGATCTAGGAACATGCCTGACAGTCTCAACTGGGGACACAGCTTTGAAAAATCAATCTCTGAAAACAAAGATTAGTTTGAAATCACATTAACTTTTAAAAACTTCTATTTCTGACAAATAAGTATCGGATTAAAAATACATTACTACTAATATGAAAAAAACAACTTCGCCAATATTTCTGAATTTTTAATTTTTATGAGGCCTTTTGATAGCTATGCTGGCAAAAGGCCTCATAAAAATTAAAAATTCAGAAATATTGGCGAAGTTGTTATTTCAAATTAGTATTAATTCCAATATTAACAGTTCTTCTTGAAGATTAAAAATACATTGTTTAACTTTGTAGGCCTACAGTTAAATCTACAGTTCTACTGGATCGATTTTGTTAAATAATTTCTCATTGGAAGGCATAAACTCTTTGAGTTGCTTTTTCATTTTATATATTATTTATAGCCTAGCGTAAAATTAATAGTATTAAAGTTTTAAAGCAAAACCTCGATATTCATTTATAAGTGTGGTGTTATAAAAAATAAACTATTCACACACTTTAAAAAAAAATTTAGGCTAACTTTTTTTTAAAGTGTGAGAATAGTTTATTTTTGATAATGAATTAGCCGTTTAACAATACTATGAGGAAACTATATTGAAAGTATATGCTATTTAATGGAAAATATAGCTTTCTGATTCTCTATTCTTGCTCAGGCACCAGTTCAGCAGTAAATCACAAATACAGTGGAAGTAAATAAGTTCAGCAGGCACTGAGGAGTGCATCGGAAACAGGCTTAAACATTCTGTTTGCCAACTTGAGCCTTAATAGCAAGGAAATGTAAAATTTAAAATTAAAGATGTACCTAATTAATTGTTTCTTGTGGGTTAGCAAAAATGAGCATTCTTATGAACAAAAATTAGAAAATGTATATTTATCAAAAAAGAATGAACATAAAAAACATAGGCCTAGGCCTATCTGTACATATTGTAGGCTATATATTATAATAGTTCCTCAGAATGTCAAAGTTTTTCTACATTGCAATTCTCTTAATGTGATTCAGATTTATCTGTACAAATTAAACACACAAAATTAGTACTTGCCTTCAGGTTTGTCTGGGGCTTTCAAGTCTATCCGAAATAGGATTCCGTTGGCCATTGCTAGTACAATGAGCTCGCTGCTGACACACATGTGGATAATCTTATCCGGAGGCGCAAAGTTTACTTTCTGCTTGTAAAACATGGGAGTCTCATCTTCTACAGCCATATTGATGAAACCAGATGCGGGTTTCTACAAAGAAATAAAAACAACCATATTTTTTGGTTTGTTATTTGTTGCAATAACTTAACATGATTGTTGAATTGAAATATACAGTAAATATTTAGTTTTCAACTTTTTTTTTACCGGAAAAAAATAAAATTCATTACAGTAAGTTAGAACTTCTTTAATCCGAACCCCTGTAATCCGAACGTCCACTAATCCAAACGCCTCATTGCTGTACTCTATACACAGTACATTAGTTCTTTATTGTAGGTATACTAGGTATTTATTGATATACACACCATAATGGTTTCTACTGTAATGTACAGTACCTACTGTTTATTCACTATGTTTACCACTGTATTAAAAAAACACACTGTGTATTTTACTATATAGGCTAAAGCATTTTTACTTTTCCCGTAAAAATTACAATCCATTTTAGCAACGTTTTAGCTAACCTAAAGTAAAAACAACAATATGTTCTGTAATTCGAACTATTCAATAGTCCGAACTACTCCCGGTCCCAATTAGTTCGGATTAAAGAGCTTCTACTGTATAATGAAATTTTAAAACAGGCTAGGCTAGACATACGGGTTGCGACATTATCACTTAGATAAAATCCATTAGTGATTTGGTGGGATTTGAGCCCGGGAACTCAGGAACCGAAGTCCCGCCCTCTAACCACTACACCAGCTCGCTCACCAAAGTAAGTATACAACAACCTGAAGTTGGCCTAAAACTTACTTAGAGGGGATTTGGCGGGCTAAAGTATGACTCATCTGTTATCATTCGATTCAAAACAAAACTAGGAAAGCTCTACAAACTGATAATCCAACCTTACATAACCGCCGCAGTGTGCTGTATAATGGTGGCCTCCGGATACTATCAAAGTAACTTACCAAAAGGGAGTGTGGGTATGGTACCTAATTCTGAGCAATTACCCCAAACTTTTTCATATTTTACTACGGTCATAAGGATGTTCTCAAAAATAAGAAACATATAATTCAAGCCCCACAAGGCCATCGTACAGGTTTCCGAGCGATAAGAAGGTTCAAAGTCCACGTGATAACAGTGGCTTGCAGCGGGAGACGCGCAGAAGGCCAGTTGTGACAGTACCATTATGATAGGTTAGGTTATGAATTAACCATGGTAGTATACTACTATATGTATGGAATTAACCTAACCCAGGTTAGGTTATGTATGTGTGTGTGTGTGTGTGTATGTACCTAACCTAACCTAACCTTGCGGGGCTTGAATTATATGTTTCTTGTTTTCTGAGAACATCCTTATGACTGTAGTAAAATATGAAACAGTTTGGGGTTGACCAAGTAATTGCTCAGAATTACCGTGGGTACACTTCCATACAGTATCTGTTGGCACAAACAACCAAATGAGTGATATTGATTATTCAATTGTTTAATTCGATATATCGTTTGGTTGGTTAGGTTAGGTTAACCTTACCTAACTAACCAAATGATATATCGATATATCCATCAATATTTTCATTCGGTTGTTTGTGCCAACAGATATGGAAGTGTACCCGGGAGTGTTCCAACCTAGCCTTTTGTACCAGCCTATGTAACTTATTAAACTTACCACTTCTGGTCCAGCAGGCGATGATGGAGCAGTTGGGCCCATGGTTCGTTGAGATGTCTGCTCATACTGATCTAATAGAGATGTCATGATGATTTATTCAGTTAAGAAAGGGTTAGATAACCTACAGATGATTAATTGATACTGTCTCTAGTTTGAGTACAGTAGCTCTAGTTTGTGTAGATTGGCGACATCCTAATTTTCTGCTTAAAAATATCCTATTGGCCTAAGTTATTTAAAAGGCAAGATTCATAACTTTTGGCGTAGACTTAATATAAAATTATTTTCATGACAAGTATTGGTCCATAATCTGAATTTTAATGAAAAGTTTGCCTAATATCTACACAATTTAATGTCTAAAAATACTTCCAAGAACTCCAGTGAATCTATGAAACAAAATCAATCAAGCTGCAAGATGTTGATAGAAGTTTCAGTTTCTCTTCTCAAGTAAATTAAATATTTTCTCAAATTTATGTAGACTGTTCTGTTATTCTGTTTACTTCATTTTGACAGTCGAACGAAGTCGAAGACGGTCCTCTTCCCCTCTCCAGAGTCCTCCTCAGTCACTCACTCAGTCCAGTCTACAGTCTTCCAGTGAGCTGAGTTATATCAGACCACACCGATTTCAACACGATTTCAAGAAGTCCCAGTATGGTTCTATTGATTATATAACGTAAAATTTATGTATCGTTTGTTTTTTTGTAAATGGTATCACAAAAAAAATTAAAAATATCTTTGCCAGTTCTTCATGAATATTGAGCTATGAATTTTTCTTGCTTTAGTGTTAATTTTATATGTCGTAAAATATTTCATATAGTTATCATCCATTCTGAAATTATACAGACGACAAAATCTAGTTATCATTTAACATTGCCAACACGGTTAGACTTGGCCGGTATTTACTCAGGGGAGGTATAGAAGAGGCTACGATGACAGCTGTGACTTCTTATTAGCTGAAGGAACGCCATTACCGTAACAATACGGTCAATGGCCATCGGCCTCGGTGGTCTAGTGGTCAGCGTGCCGGGCTGATATGCTGAAGGTCCCGGGTTCGAATCCTGCTGTTGGCACTAACTTTTTGTCCAAGATTCTTTCATTATCAGAAAGTTTGGTTGGTTTGGTTCGGTTATGACAGTTTAATTGTATTATAAGTCATTCAAAAATTTTAATTTAGCAATTTCTAGTTTTATTTAATAAACAGAATTATTTTTTCATTACTAAACATTTGTTATATTATTTCATTATCAGCAAGTTTGGTTTGTTCGGTTAGGTTATGATAGTTTAATTTTATATTTAAAAAAATTATAAAATGGAATTTGAGGCATTTATAATTTTATTTTATGAACAGAACTATTTTTGCGATTAGTATTAGTATACCTTCATTGCCCAAGTGCTCTCTACTACAGCGCTATTCACGGAGGAATTTTGAACTAATGCCTCATTCGTACCTCCCCTAAGTCAGACCCGACTTGGCCTAGGCGCAAGTGGAATGTGTTTTTTCTCAGCTGATAAGTATTACTAGTATTAGAAGTATTCCAATTCCAATCATTTCTCACCACACTGATGATGGTTGGTTAATTTGTGATCTGCTGTGTCGTCCTAGTTAAGTGAAAGCTCTACATTTATTTATTTTTACAATTGTCACAATTTCACGTGTAAACATACTAAATTAACGATAAATATGTCGTCCAACAGCAATGATGATAGTTCAAACGAAAATACCTGTGTTGTATGCTTCAAAAATGTGGACATATTTTCGGTTGGTGACTGCGATCACCCAGTTTGCTATGAGTGTTCAACACGAATGAGGGTTTTATGCAGACAAAATGAATGTCCAATTTGTAGACATGACATGCAAAGGGTAAGCCAAAGTATAAAAAATAGTCTATTGTTATGCACTGCTGACTCCCACATTGTTTGTGACATAATAGGCCTAACCTTAGTTAACAAATCACATTTTAGGCCACTGTAACCTTTACTTTATTTGTGATAGGCCTAGGTACAGTTCCGCAGACAACCTGCAATAGGCCTATGCCTATTATCGGTTTAATATTGATTCAGTGTTGCCAGATTGGCCAAAGTAAATTATCGTACACGCAGTCCAAAACTATTGTATTCTGGGCAAAATAATCGTACACGTAAAATATATTATATTGTGATAAGTAGCCCTAAAAGGGGTACAGTTTCTTAACTGGGCTAGGCTATGCTAAGCTAATATTGCTTGAAACTATCGATTCGATTACCTAGTAAACCTTCATGCGATTTTTTCGCCATCAGCAAGTTTGGGTGGTTAGGTTAGGTTATGATAGTATTTTATAATACAGTCCAACCTCAGTATAACGAATCTGAAGGTACCGAACTGAATATTCGTTATATCAAGGATTTCGTTAAAACGAGGTTCGTTATATAGAGGTTAGGTTTGCAGGAATTTCGCTAAGTCGAGGTTCAGAACCAGCGTCGGTCAATATAGGTCGGGATTTGACCTCATTAAAATACAATTAATGTAGCATAGGCTACAATACTTTGCAGTACAGTGTTTACATTGTACAGTAGAACCTAAATTATCCGGCATAATAAAGGGGAGGGATCTTAAATATTGCGCAATCATGACAATGGCATTGACCTTGGTACAGGTTAAAAGATGTAACTTTAAAATCACAGCTTGTTCTAACCCTCCTAAAACCTAGCCAAACACTGTATTGCGTAGTCATAAACCATGTCAAGAACAAAACAAAACAGTAGAAAGTTTTGTAAACTACTGCTCGCGATAGGCCGGTAGGCTACTTACAGTACAGTACTGATTTATCACAACAGAGGAATGTCAATAATAATCTTTAACTATAGCATTGGTTTTGCTAGTTGAAACAAATCGTATTGAAAACAATAAATTATTAGATAAGTCATTATAAAAGTGTATAATCATAGCCAACTTAAGGATAATAAAAACACTCGTAAAAGGAATGTTAAAATAACGATGTTGCTATTCTTTCTCTTTGGTTTTGTTTTTATATTCTTTCTTAGGTTTCTATTTATAAAAAAATTGTACAATTCACCATAGTTATCCCATATCGCCCAATCACAGCTTACTAAACATTACGTCGTCATCAGTCCTCAGTGAATGAAATCAGTTCTCAGTTGCAACATAGCGCGCGCAGCGACAGCAGACAAAGATGTAAAACGGAGCAGACGAATGTTAGCGCAAGCGATGACGTGACCTTTCCATTTAATTTGATAAAGAAACAGATTTTCCCAAAACAATAATTGGGTGGGGGATTTGTTATAACGAGGAAAAGACGTAGACAATTCGTTATGCAGAGGTTAAATTCGCAATGTAGAGGTTCTGACAATGACAAATTCGTTATATTGAGGTGTCTTATTTTAGCCGGAATCACGAAAATTCGTTAAATCAAGGTCGTTGTTATGGTTTGTTCGTTATGTAGAGGTAAAATATACATTGTGTCTTATGGAGAGTTCTAGGGGATTTAAAAAAAATTCGTTATATCAAGGAATTCGTTACATCGAGGTTCGTTATATCAAGGTTAGACTGTAGATATATTTAAAAATATCGATTATTAATCAATATTTTCAATTCGATAGTTTCAATCAAAATTAGCTTAGCCCAGTTAAGAAACTAAGTTACCCCCTAAAAGTGCTATTCAGAGGATGAATACAACAGAAGAATTCACAATAAACTCCTTTTCCATCATCACAAACATTAGTTTTAGATTCTCATTCTCATACAAAATTACAATCCCCTGTTCTCCTATTTCCAATGCAACTTACTAAGCAATAACTTATACCCCTGGTAAAAATCGCAGTCAACGTCTCTCAATTCTCTTGTTCTACCTGCAGCTGTATTTGTTACTCTAGCTGAGTGAGCTGTACGGCACTGCACCAGCTGAAGTTGATGTTTTTTTGCAAGGTGCATTTAAATGTACCATGAATCAATATTAGGCTAAATATTTTTATTTTCTTGGCACTGGAAAATAGTCTTATTTTGTGACGAATAATCATAATTTATGCACGGTAGCCTACACTTTGTCAAATTTAATTGTAAAATTTTGTAAAATTAGGCTATTTTTATGGAGAAGGAGCAAAAATATTGTACAAATAAAAATGGTAGGCCTACACCTGGCACCACTATTGATTATAGGCCTATCACATTGAATTTAATATTACCATATTATATAGGCTGAATAATAGGTAATCAATAAGTTAGCCTAGCAAAAAAAATGTAGGCTATAGGGCCTAGAGTTGTTTCTTTACTTTATCATTAGTTTTACTTTAAATTTGTATGACTATAAATGTAAGAAACATGGCCTGGTATTTATTAGGTATTAAGTTAGGTGTCTCCAAACAAATTTTTAATTCTGATATCTCTTACTTATGGGTTTTTACCTCCTAAATCTATATATAGGCTACTATTATTTTTCACCGCTGATGAATATTACTCAAGATATCGCCGTACAAATAACTTATACAACATTAGAATAAACAAGGTAGGACGGATGACATTTATTAGTGGAGTAAACAGTGGGTGAAGTAAGCCTACAGCTGATTGTTTTTCAACCACACAACAAGCAACTGGAAGTATTAACTTTATCAACTAACACTGATTCTATCATCGGCAATAGGCCTAATGATGACGCTTCACTTCACTAGCTTACAACTAGAACTAGGCCTAGGCCTAGAATACCAAAACCAATACTGTGTCTACAAGTCTGCTACGCTAAGTTCAGGATAAGTGAATAAGGTATCATAGATGATGAGAAGAATAACACCGTTGATTCCAAAATTATCATTGACTAGAAATATTTCAAATGATTCTGTAGACAATAATGATTTCTATAAAGGGAATTTTGTCACATTATGGAGATATATACCATTATGACTGACTAATTGTACATGTAGTTCATGTTTAGGCATGTCAGGGTGGTCGAAAGAGCTTTATGCGAATTGGGTTAGGTGCAGTAGCTTTATGCAAATTTGTGACTGCATTAAGTGTTTTGAAGTTAGGTAGGCTAAAGATTAGGAAGATAAAGTTTAGGTTACAGTGAATCGAGATGTCGGTTTATGTGACCTGCTGACTGTTTATGTACAATTAAATCCCTGAGATAAAAGTACTATTTCAAAAATGTTTGCATCCATTTGCATACATAATCCCTTTTCCAAAATGCAGTACGTTCTACTATGCCCAATTAAGTTACAATTTAGTTACCTGTATGCTTACCTGTATGTTTTAGCTGAATTTAGTTTAGTTTAGTCAGGAGCCTATTCTAACACATTGTGAATATTGCAACCATTTGCAAGTAACTTAATGTTATTTATTCAAACAGGTGATATTTACAAGGTCAGTCCGCCCGTTTAAGCAGCTGGAACGAAGTCTCAGTCTGAGGACAGCTGTTGATCGCAAGTTCCAGATAGTGTTTGAGAGTCCAGATATTCAGGCTGCGTATGATGCTTTGCTTGCTCATGTCTGTCCCAAATGTCCAACCCGTCACGCATTCCAGACATTTAACCATT